CCAGTAAAAGTTTTATTTGTCCTGATTCTGAGCAGGCTGTAGTGACTGAACAGTGACTGGTTCTGGGACTGAGACTGATGGGGAAAGAAAGGTGATTTTTAAAGGAATTTAGAGCTTGGACCTGTTTTTCTGACATAATAAAGAAAACACTTAAGCTTTTCCTCTTTCATTTTTGAAGGTCAGTCATTTCCTTCTTATATTTTATTGGAAAAAAATAGGAGGAAACCCAGATTCTCACACCCTTAGTGTCGGGAAAATTCATTAGCAATCCTAGCAAACGTTTTTCTCACAAATATTGTTACATATTTTAAAACTAAATAGAAAATCAACTGTAAAAGAAATTAAAACCTGTAACACCAAAAAAGCTAGTTTTCCCTCCTTTCATCTGTCACAATGTGACCAGTTCAGTGTCTGTCCAGCAGATAAAGCATATTCTTGATTTCTAACAAAACAGAGAAAAGGCAGGCAATTTTTTTTTCAGAGGGTGAATATTTCAGGTCATCCTTATGCACATCACAGAAATGTGAAAACAAATCAGAAAATCCCTGAACCCACAAATTGTTTGGTTAATATTTTTAGTTCAGCCTCCAGGTTCATGGCCAAGATATGAAACCATACAAATCTTTTTCTGGCTCTTTAACTGTGGGAGGGTTAATGAGCCTCTCTGATTTTTCCATGTTCTCATATATACTGTATACATACATATTTTCAGACAGAGAGGAACACAGGGTCTATAAATTACTCCAAAGTCTTAAGTCCCAGTCTCTACTGAAGTGTCGAAAATAACTGAGTTGTTTTCATGAAATGGCTGTTACTAAAATAGCCCCAGGAAAAGGAAAGGGGGCAGCAGGTCTCTGACAGTCACACGGGTGAATACTCCAGCCCCAGGGCAGGGACACGGTGCTGCCACCTTTCCCCAGCACCTTTTGGAGTGTCACTACCAAGCAGCAGAGTGTTCCCAGCAAGGTGAGACAGCAGACAGCAGCAGTACCTGCCATCCCCTGGGATCTACTGGATTCTAATGCTGCCCTGTGTGGATCTCTGGTAGAATTACATGGAATTCATTATTCAAACATGGCTCTAGGGAAACTTTTTTTTTTTTTCCACTGAACTCCCAATTTTTTCTCTTTCTCCTCTAATCCTCTGGCTGTACAAAAGAAACTCAATGATTTTCTTTTACAAAGCTGGAAAATCTGCAGGTCAAGTGGAAAAAATAAAAAGAAGGGACAAAAGAAAAATAAAGAAATAGCAACAGAAATGGGAAAAAAAAAAGAAAAAAGCTGTGGTAAATGAAGACATTACAGATATCACCTGCAGTAATTTAGGGGAGGAGCCACTGCAGGTCAGTACCTAGAAGGGGAAGGCAGTAAATTGCTAATTACTGCATTAAATGGAAATGGGTCAGCTCATGGCTACTCTACAAAATCCAGTCATAGGGCACACACTTGAAAATATGGGAAAACGAGCTGTACACTGGGAAATGCAGCCGTATTCAGAACATCTTCTGACTGTCAGCCTTAGCTGAAAACACCCCTGGGCAGAGCACACCGAGCCCCTGCCACCCCACTCAGCCTGGGTGGTGCCAGCTTGGAAACGGGAGAAAGCAACAGCATCTCCCAGTGACCCCCAGTGACCAGTTCTTAAGCCAGGCCTGGGACTGAGTCTCCTGTATTTTTGCCTAAGGAAATTTTTATTTCTTCTGGCTTTCCCTGGTGCACTGCCTGCTCACCCAGGAGGGCAGACATGCAGGCCTCTTGCCTTTCTGAGCCACAGGGACTTTCTATCCCCCCTTTTCCATTTCTCCAGCAAACAAGAATCAAGGTAGTGCCAAAATCATGCATTATCTTCCCAGATGAAACTGGAAAGAAACAGGATTCCTGTAAGAAGAAACAGAGGTTTTATAGCAAGAATCTACTTGAGAGCAGGAGCTGTGGGAGGAGTTTGTTTTCTCTCCTGACTTCCCCACACAATACAATTTATTTCTTTAGTTGAATGTTTTCTTAATGCAAAACTCATGAACAGCCTGGGCAGCAGAGACACATGAACAAGCTGTTACAGAAGGGGGCCTGGCTGGGTATTGTGAAACTCCAGCACCTGCAGACCATGGAACACCTGAACCTCCCTATGATTTTACCCCTTCCTCCCTTTGTTCCCTCAGTACACTCCCTTACTGCAGAGGTGGAAGGGAACTGGCTCAGTTGAGGATTTGGGGTCAGTTTATCACCAAACATGAGCTGATGACACCAGCAAGTGCAGCAGCATGAGGGGAGGGGATGGGCAGAGTGAAACAGCTGGTGCTGAGTGCCCACTGCACACACCTGGGGAGGTTATTTCTACTTTTGGGGGGATGCCTGGTTTGCTGCCATGGCAGCTCTGTGATGGGAACCAGGGTATGGATACGTGAGCCAACCAGATGTGCAATGAAAATGCTCCCTTGAGCTAAACTAAACCACTGACGAAGACAGCCTCAGATTTCTTTTACCATTCCTCATGAAAAAGATTAATTTTCCACACAATTCCATGTACATTAGTTTTGTTTGTTTGTTTGTTTGTTTGTTTGTTTTGTTGCTGCTGTTGTTTTTTGAGGTAGGCATTGCAGCTATAATTAGAATGTAGTTCTGGACATAAAATATTTCTTTTGGGGACAGTACATAAGATTAAATAAGTAAGCTATGAAAGGTTGATACAGGGCAAGGCATAAGCAGGAAAACAAATCATAGCAGCCTGCAGATTTGATTGCTTAAGATGGGAGGGGAGCACTAGATAGTTTTGATTCTCAGCATTCAATGTAAATAAATTATTTTTTTCACAGTAAGATCTTGTTAACATACCCAGACATTACCAAATGGACTGTTTCATTAAGCTCTTCTGAAATACATTCAGTATAATTAAATCATTATTGCTAAAAAAAAAATAATTTGAGAAGTTTGCGATCATTAGACAAAATCTCTGGGTGGACTTAAAAAGCAGATAGATCAGCAAAGACGTAAGAAAAATGCTCAGTAAATATCCCAGGAATTATATAATTTTTGTTTCTTTTATGCTTATTTGAAAAACCATGGAGCTCCTCTCACCACAGAATCACTAAATTAATTGCTGATTCCAGCCCTGCAGCTGTGATATTTCAGGGGAATTGAATGGCTCTGGAGCTGTGTGTATAAATCAGGCAGATTCTTTCTTTCATTCTGCCCTGTCTCTCCTGTTTCTCAGTGGTGCCCTCCAAGCCCATCAGGCTTGTCAGTGGTGTCACATCCTATTCCTTTACCTCTTCTCTCCAGCATCAGCACAACCAGGCCTCCACTGATCTGCACAAGGTTTTGACAGCTTAGATTGAGAGCATGACCCTCACAGCATCACAGGAAGCAACCTTTTGATGACATCAAGTGGTACAGAAACATTGCTTTTGGTAGAAAATAGCTAAATTGCCTCCTGATAGTATTTCATGAGTTCAAGGAGAGACAGGTTTGCATTTCTTTTACCAAAACCCAACAAAATTATAGGTTTTCATATATTGTTAGGATTTTCTGGTGACTGAAGGGCCACAAGGAAGATGCCACACTGACCATAATGCTTCCCCATGGCTCTAACATCTCCACACATCCAATTTAATACTGTGATTCCTTGGTACTTGATAGTAAAACCAGTACACCTATACCAGGAACCATGGTAGCTGTTAATGCAGCAGGGGCCAGTGGGCTTTGAGGTCTTTTTGTGTTTGCTGATGACTTCAGACTCTGAGGTTCCTGAGCACCTCACTGAAAAAGATCATAACATCAGATGCTCTGTTTAGGGGATATTCCACTGCAATTTGATGGTGTTGTGATGATGCCCATCCATTGCCAGGTTATGCTGGTAAATCTGTATCTGACATGCTAAGCAAACTGTAATACATACTAACCTTCCCATCAGTGGCATCATTGAATCACAGAACAGTTTGGAAGGGACCTTAAAGATCATCCAGTTCCAACGCCCCTGCCATGGGCAGGGACACCTTCCACTAGACCAGGTTGCTCAGAGCTCCATCCAGTTTGGTCTTGAACATTTCCAGGGACATCCACAGATTTCCATCATCCAGATTCTCTGGAGAACTTATTCCAGTGTCTGAGCACCTCTACAGTAAATAATATCTTCTTAATATCTAATCTAACTCTGCCTCTACTTTGAAGCCACTTCCCTTGTCCTATCACTACAGTTCCTGAAGAAGATTCCCAATCCATCTTCTCTGTAGCCCCCTTCCAATACTGGAAGGTTGCTATGAGGCCTCAACACAACCTTCTCTTCTCTGGGCAGAACAACCCCAACTTTCTCATCCTCTCTTCACAGGGGAGGTGCTCCAGTCCCTTCACCAACTTCATGGCATCCTCTGGACTTGCTCCAACAGCTCCATGTCTTTCTTATATTAGAGGCACCAGAACTGTGTGTCATATTCCAGATGGGGAATCCTCACTAGAGCAGAGGATCTGGATCTGAAGAGCCCTCAAGAATGACTGAAATCTTCCTCTGATATCATCTGGACTTCTACTGCTCACTAAATGTCAAAAGCGGCCTTTGGAAAAGTTGATATTGAAAATCAAAATTTCCACTGACTCCAGGACTTCCTCCTGAATAAATAGGAGAAGCTGCTTTGTTGTTGTAAGGCCAGTGGAGGGATCCTGTGGAGGGTGCTGGGAAGCAGGGTGATAAAGCACTGAGTATGTTCTGTTCTCTCAGTCACTCCCTGAGTGACTCATTCCATGTGAGTTTTGGGTTAGACCAGAACAGTATTCCTTACAACAGTCAAAAGCAAATCACTCTAGGGAAATATAACAATATTTGGCTGTTTTCTCCTTGTTTCCAGTAATTTGTAGCTCAAGGACTTTCCAAGCTCTGACTGGCATAACCATCAATTGATTTATCTTCCATGAATCTAACCGGTGTCTCCTTGACCCCATATAAATTTTAAGCATCCATAACATCTTGGTATGAATAAAACTTAGTCCCTAAATATCTAGAACTAATCAATCCTTTAAGCAGCTTTATTGACTTCTGAACTCTCCCAGCAGCATTTAATTTGACAATAATTTAATTTACCACCTTCCAGTGCTAGTATATTTACTCAAAGCAGTGCACAAGATTTTCCCAATGAATTCTTCATTAGGTTCAAGGCATGACATGAAATAACAACATGCAGGAGGCTTTAAAGAAAGATCAGATAGGGTGAAGGCTAAAAAAAATTGGATAAGGAGGGTTTAAAGATGAATTAAGGAAGAAATGGGCACAATACAGGAAGTGAGTGACAATTTACTCCAGTTGTTGATGTTGAGATGAAAATAAGAATATAAATATAAGAATATAGATAAAACTTCACAGTAAAAGCCTTCTCTCTTCTTGACCCACAGACATTAAACTGTCACAAATGTGTGATCAATTGAGATAAAATGTGGTTGATGCACACATACACAGAGATTCAAGAATTAGTGACAGTCACATTTTTAAGTGAAATATCAGTACTTTCTGGTACTCAATATTAAATCTAACCTCAGGGATTGCTCATTTACAGCAGGTAATGCCTTAGTGGCTGGATTGAGCATGCTGGATTTTCATGACCTTAAATCAGAGGCTGACTTGTGTATTCTGCTGTAGCCTACTTAGTTTCTTTGTAGAAGCTAACATCTGGGCAAAAATTAGCAGGAATATCAGTTTCAATTAATATATTGTTTTACAACTCAACCCAAATTGTCATTGACAGAACTAGGCCTTAAGTGCTACATGGGAATTAGCCTTCATAAAAATTCCCCAACTGAACAGACCTGAGCAGATGACCCACAACTCATCTGTGAAATACTCAGCTTGGTGAAGTAATTTGTTTAACTGTGACCCAAATAATGAAGTACACAGTGTTAGCTGTCAATTAATGCTGTACCACAGAGCAAGCAAAATGTTATGCAAAACAAGAAACAGCTTATAAAGCAATAGAGATACCTATTATGAGCTCTAACTAACCTCCCTATCTTTTTTAAGGATTTAAATATAACTTTCTTGTCAAATCTTTTGATCAACTCTATTACTGATGTTGGAAGGTGATGACTGTCAGCCAAGAACTACACTAAGAGTCCATAATTGAATTTCAAGAGTTGTCAAGACCAGGCTAATCAAATAGCTGCTACTAGAATAAAATATGAAAGAAAGAAAAAAAAAAGTTCTCTTCTGGAAGGATGGGAAGTATGTTGTATAGTTTCCCTATGTCATTTCTAATAGAATGTTCAATTTTTCTGGGCTACCTTTGTCTGACATTCTTCTCTTGTATAATAATGATTCATTATATATAATGTATTCAATGACTGTAACTCACCCCTCAGTGCCCAAAAATATGACTGCAGCTAGGCATTTGCATTGTAAAACAAAAGCATAACACCAGGGCTTATGAAGGATCCCTCTTAAAAGGAACGCTAGACTTTTTTTCTGAATATATTCTGAATATTTTGAGGTCAGTATAATACTGACCTCAAAATAACCTTAAAAATCCAGCACAAGAAACAATTAACAGCTCTTCCTTCCCTGTGCTTAGGTAATTTGACAATTTTAGGGAGAGCTGGGGGGCCAAAATACTCCTTGGCCATTCAAGGAGGGTGAAGAACTGCATTCCCTCTACTGATCATTAAATCCATGGCCTGCAGTCTGGAAGTTTCAGCAGTGTTCAGGCTGTGTGGTGGGCTGTAGTCCAAAAACAGAGAAATGCAAGCAGTGTCCCCCAACAGTGATGAGTAAAATGGAGAAGATGCTCCCTGAGCCCTCAGTTAAATACAGTGGTTGTTCATGACAGCAGGGAGTGCAACAGGAAGACTGCCCTGAAGTAATTTTTCCTGCCTGCTATTCCCTGCCTGTTCTTGGGCATGGCATTTATTTTGTCCTCACTACTTTTATTCACCTTTTTATTCCTAATTGCACCAGGACACTGGGGGGACAGATGGGACCAGGTAGTACCTTTGGTTCTGCCTGTAGCTGCTCTCAAAGGAAATATGAGCACAGCTACATTTTTGGTTTCATAGTTATTTACACTTTAATAACACATAGCACTCCTCCTCAGCTGAAATGAATCGATTCTTTGCTGCTATGTACAACCTAGAGAACAACAGCAACAACACCTGCAGGTTAGCAAAATGTTTTATTATAGTAAAACATACCACACACAGAGGAGAACCAATGGTTATACTTTATCTGTCCCATCAAAGCAAAATACCTTCATAATATTTTCCACTGGCTTAAAAAGGAAATGCTAATAGAAATAATTTCATTATTAAAAATATATAATGCTTTATATTTATTTTGTTCTATATTAGCAAGGCAAACACTGGGATGATAATATGGCTTAAATATATTAAAATTTTGCCTCTGGGGAGCTTGTCTTCATCTCTAGCTAGACCACACATGGAATGAGTTCAGGAATCTCTGCATGACAGCAGGCATCAACCCACATTAGATGTAAATTTGGTATCTTCAACCAGCGTGCCTGAGTTCAGCAAGAAAAGGGAAATTCTTGGATACCTATTCTACAAAGCTTTTCTCTTCCTGCATATTAAAATTTCTTCATTATATTTTCTTCCTATTTTTTTTCCTCTAGATAATGCCATGTTTGTCTTCCCTTGTTTTAACCATCACATGGTAAAGAACAGACCACCATCTTATCACACAAACTCATTTTAGTTTAGTGGAATGGATCACAATGGCTGGTCCTTAAAAATTCTGGAAGAAGTGAAGAAATAGGAGAGAAAGAGTGACTCCAGAGAGCAATTCAGATTTCCTCCATTAACACACCTGCACTGAATGACCTCCTGGAAAAATCTCTCTCTCTCCACTAACTACAGTGGGAGTCCAGGAAGACTTGGCTGGAAAAAAATTAGCCCTTTTGAATCTGGAGTTCACAGGAGTCCTACAACACCCAAACCTCCTACACACTGCAACCTCCATCTGTGTCTGGAGAGTGTTCTTAGCCACCCTCAGTCATCTGCTATTCTTCCCAGGAATCAGAGATGCATAGTGTGGTCTTTGCAGGCCTAAAGTTCTCTTACAAGTTGGCATTTGTGCAGCAATTAAGGCAGCAGATTGTCAGGCTTAGCTAGGATTTCCATGCTCCATGGAAAGACAGAGGAACTGTTAACTATATTTAACAGTTCCTGTTAAAAATTACCGATGTATCAGTCAGAGAGGAAAAGGCTGCTACAAAAATGCACTGGATAAAAGGAAATTGGCCTTTACACTGAGCTGAAAAACATCTAAAAATGACAGGAACAGCATCCTATCATGCCTCAGACCATTTGTTGGACATTATTCACAGCTGCCATGTGTACAACAACATCTTCACCATTTTCAATCAACTGGCCAAAACTGTACAATGCTGATACTAAAACAGCAGTAGACAATCTATAGTGCTACATCCTTGTCCACATTCCCTGTAAAACCCTGAAAATCTAAGGCAATATTAAATCACAGCTGCACTGTCTGGAAAACATCACGGGGAGGTTCTGCTACTCAGACATGCTGCTCTCTGTATCCTGGTACACAAATGAGCACTTTGACAGTACAAACACCTGGTCAATTCTTGCTGCTGTCACTTGAGCTCACTGGAAGGTGGAGCCAAGGAGGCATCATCACGTTTTAAAAATACATATAATCAAAAAAGACTGGTATCCTGGTTGTTGATAGATTCATTTTCCTGGATATACTGGAGAATGTCCACTTCATTCATCGTCTGAATTCTGTTTTCCTTTTGCTTTGCCAGTGAAGGTGAATTAGTGCTCCTGGGGGCAACTGCTGGCTTCTGAGGTTTTGGTGGGACCTTAGGTTTTGGTTTGGAGGTAACCTCCAAGAGTTTCTCAAAATCATCTTCAACTCTGGAATGAAAAGAAAACATCAGTAACATTCTGGGAATTTCTGAATTCCTTTTTGTTTTGTAAGAAAATGCAATCTTTCAAAACAAAACATTTTGCAGGAAAGGATCTACTCTGATAAAGTTCTTTCTTCATAGAAATTTCTGTAAGAACCATATTTTTATGATGTGGCTTTTCAGTTCACACAAGTTATACAAGTTAATTTTACAGCATGTTTTCAAATGTCTAAATTGAAGGCAATTTGTGATTACCAAAAACACCAAACTTTATTTTAGTTTGGGAAACAAATGTTTTTGATTTGTGACAGGATGCTTTGCTTCTCCATAAATTTTCATGGGAAAGTAAAATTATCCACATTCAACACTGTTTCCTCTTCATCCCCATCACCCAAAATTGAGACTGAGCATCCCCACACTCAATCATGAGAAGCTGTAAACACTAATGAATTAAAAAATTCCATGTTCATATTTGGTTCCAGGACATGAAGAAGTTTTGCAACCTGTGACCATATACAACAACTCTTTCAGGTGACAATTTGCTTCTGATTCCTACGGAAATAACCCAGAACACCTCAAACAGTTCAGGGTATTTTCTACCTGCATTGTTTGATCTCATCAGATATGCAGCAGGCTGTGCCTGCCCAACTCTGTTCCCACATGAGCTGTTAGAAGATTTTAACAGAGCCCTTATCACAGATTATCTTGTGGCTCCAAGAACTGTGTGCTTTTGGAACATCAAAATATGGAGTAAAGGAAAAGAAGGATGCTCTCCCACAGCTCCACTCACTGGAACAGGATATGGTACTGGAGTCTAAGGAACATGCCTTTTCAGTTTCTTCTTCTCCATTAACAGTAGGTAGGCAGTCCCTGGCGCACAAATAAATAATTTCATGTGATGTATTTTTTGGTTCTTCCTCTCATTTGCCTTTTGTAGTTAGAATCATGGGGCCATTGAATATCCTGAGCTGGAAGGGACCCATCAGTCCAACTCCTGGCCCTGTACAGGATATCCCAAGGATCACAACTTGAGCCTGAGAGCATTGTCCAAATGCTCTTTGAGCTCTGTCAGGTTTGCTGCTGTGACCACTGCCCTGAGGAGCCCCTGGTCGAGTGCCCAGCCATCCTCTGGGTGAAAAGACCTTTTCCTAATATTCAGTTTATAACTTCCTCATTTCCAGGCAATGAGGCATCTTGGGAGGTTACCCAGACCCCTGAGAAACCACTGGGATAATTTCTGTTTCCTAAATGTGACAATGATTCCTCCCTTTCTCTCTCTGTTCACCAGTTGCCTTAGGAGAGGTACAGTAAGTGCCTCTACCACACAGCAGTACAACTGGTGGGCTTTCTGCAGACAGGTAGAAGTAGAGCTGAGCTTTTCCATAATTTGAGAAGCAACAGATTTGGGAGGCAACTGTCCAGGATGACCAGGAACACGATCAAAGAAACAACATCTCCGAGACACTTTATTCCTCCGTCCCCAGTGAATATTGTTTGAATATTAAAACTGTAGGTATTTCAAGAGCTACAGCCCCCTCAAGCTAAGGAGCCCACTATTACTAAGATAAACTGCATAATTTCAAGGGTTTCTTTTTTGTGTTCACCCTCATTACAACCTGTGAAGAACTTACAACTGTACAGCTCAAACTGAGACAAACTACACCCACCAAGAACTGGTCCTGAAGTCAATCAGGATTAGCCTAAATTTTCTGGTGTACAGATAGCCAGAACTCTTTAAGGTAAAACCATTTCTGAAGTCAGACAGATCTTCTTGTGACTCCCAAAGGGAAACTAAAAAGAATCACTTTTAACCAAGGCTACTCTTGCAAAATCAATAGCATGAACACTGATCTCTGAAACTAGGGAACACCTGAACCAGCTGATGGACAGAATCATTCACTACCCCAGAGTTCTGCAACTTGAACTCTACCTGTGGTACTCCAACAGGCAGACCCTCAACTTTTATCCTCTCAGTAACTGTGATTATATTCTTTTTTATTTAGATAAGATTTCTGATTTCTTTTATTTTCCATGATTCCTTGTGAGTGACATACCCTACTTGACTCATAAAACACACTCAATGTATTCCTAAATTCCTCATCTACAAAGAAATCAATTACATTTAAGCCCAGGCCTTTCCATTTGTTGCCAACTCTGATATCCAACAGGTATCACACCTGTGATCACATTGCCAAGACATGTTCTTGTTCTCTTTGCTGTGTAATAAACAAAACTTGTTAGGGCTAGTATTTCTGAAGCCTCCCTTCTTGGCATGAACAAATAGTGAATGTATCAGCATCCATGTCATAAAGTTTTGGTCTTAAATAACAGAAAACATAATAAGCAGAGGAACAATGCACAATATACATGAAGACCATATGGAGGAAGAAGGATTTTGAACTAGATGCACTACCCAGAAAGGGCAGCAGCAAATCCAGCTCACTAACCTGGTAGGATGGTGCAACTTCCTGAATTCTCTACTCCTGTGCTAATCACAGCAATAAAACCACTCAAGCACAACTGAAAAATACCCCCAAAAGATCCAGTCCAGTAGGCTGTGGGGGTCTTTAGGGTGTGGGGGTTTGGTGTTCTGTTTTTAAGACAAAGATTCTGCAGAAGAAAGTCTGGAAGCGGATTATGTAATTTCCTTTTTCTGTCCTGGATTTTTTCAAGGCCTTGGTTAGACAGAGGCCTTTTAGAGAGAACACAGCAGATAATTCGTGGTCTTTCTCTCAAAACCTGCTTTTCAGTGCTGCAGTGCTAGACAAGCTGTTTGATCCACTGCTGTTTGATCATATGAGATACAACTGTCTTTGCAAAACTAAAGAGGTAAAATGCAAAATGCCTCAGGCAGAGATAGAAACAAGGACTTCTATTTCTTGAAAGCAAATGAATTGTTACAGTGCATAACTACCACCATATTTAACTCCGGGCCAGGAGGAGGAAGAAAAAAATCAAGGAACTATTCTGAAACAAGATTAAAGGAAGAACCTTCCCTCCCCATCTTTTTATAGACAATCAGGCAGAGAATCCATGTAATTAATAATTTTTTAATTAGTCTCTTTCTGTAAAAGAAAAGCAGTGTCACATTGTTTAAAATTCCTGCCATATTGTTGTGCTGATTCACTGACTTTATTGGTGGAAATTCTCTCTGACACAGAAAGCAATCAAAGCCCTTACTGGAGAAAGGCCGTCACAAAGCCCTTCGTGACTGCTGGCATGTGGACTTCCAGACAGTAAATGAGTTCTGACTTGGAGACAGATGCAGCTGCCACAAGAACATCAACATTTTAAATGTCATTTCTCTGGACTTTGTCCCTTCTCTCTGGACCAGATCTGTGGGACAAGAATGACTGTCTGCATGTACAGCATGATGGGGACAGTGACCTCTGCTTCCTGGGAATGCTTTAATGAGGAGAATCTGTAATGAAAGCAAGAGACAAAGACTCCCATAATTTGCTAAAGTATCTGAAAGGCTCATGCTTGAAGCTCAGTTGTGCAACTAACTGCAGTCCTTGCAGAACAGACTTTCATCTTTTGCTATCTTATTATCTTTATTTTGTCTGGTGTTAATTCCAAGTGCAAGAGATGCCTTAGTGAAGCCTTGGGGAGTGCTGTAACATCACATATACAACTTAGGAAAAGAGTTGTGCCCAAAAATAGGCAGGAGACTTCAAAGTATCTGTTGCCCATCACATTTGCTGTGGTCAGGAGAGACTACCAGCAAGGTGCAGGGAAAGATACAGGCTGGAGTTAACCCCAAGAATGCCAACCACTGGGGGCCATGAAGGAGGTCTCTCTCCTGCTTCTTCAGCTTTCATCTGCAATCTATTACAGGTAAATTCCCAGTGGTATTTTAACCAGGGCCAGGAAATATGTCTGGACACTGGAATGTGACAGTCTGTATCGTTTAAATGCTACAAGAACCACTGGCAGGGCTGTGGTCTGGGAGGGATTAACCCTCCAAAAAACTCTCTGGCACAACTCAAAGGTGGTGTGGGACAGGGACCATTCCCTGGAGGCAGCTGCACACAGTCCCCTTGTTGTGCAGCTGCAGAGTCCAACAGCGTGGATACAGCCTGGTGGTGCAGCTGGGCCAAGTGCCAGAGAACAGGCTCATTAATGCAGGTAAGTCCCACAAGAAGCCCTCTGGAGAAATCAGCCTGAAAGTCAATTTTTCCAGTCTGAAAAAATTCAAACCTCTCTTTCTGTCCTCTCTAGAAAGTTCCTCAACCACCAGCCAAAGGCACAGCTGTGGCAGGGAGAGCAGACAGCTTTTTCCCCTTGAGCTGATGATGTCTCTCAAAAATGTAAACAACCTGGGGTGAGATGATTGAAGTCTGGTGGGTCTCAAGCCCAGCAAAAGCGTCTCTTGCTACACTAGGACACCACACCACCTCTGTGCATTATTCTACACAACCTGTACATGTTCCTAGGGATGAGGCAAGGATTAATGTTAGCAAAAAACTTATTGTTTTGTTGGCAAGTTTACTTTATAGCTTTTTTAATGTTTGTAAGTAGTATCCCAATACATCACATGAATGAAATAAATAAACTCTTGAAAACCATCACAGAAGAATTTGCTTTTCTGTAACCTACTGCAGCCAAATAAATCAAGGACCTTTGAACACAGTTCCATCATAGCAAACAAGAGAAACTGCCCTAGAGTGGTCAGGAAATTTCTGACTCAGTTTTTACAACCTTCTGTTCCAGCTGTACATTGTCCAAATAACCCTCTCCCCAAAGGATCTACATATAAAGCCTCTGAAGCTTCTTTTTTTTTTATTTTCCAACTATAGTGCTGTCATACTCTCAGGACAGTGAGCACTGGTGCTGGAGATGCTGCTCCACAGGACTCCTGGAGAGTTTGAAGATGTATTACTCTCTGAATTCAGCATCTGCTAATGCCTACTGGAAGAAGAACACACAAACTTTTTCTGCTTCAAGGGTGGCAACAGTTCCTTGGCAAACCTGAAGCCAACAAACCTGCTCAAGAAGCTCTATGGA